CTTAAAACTTTTAAAAATAGTATGTAATGGAACCAGAATTGCTTGAAAATTGCGTTTTTATTTTCTTTTAGTAATGGTTTGGGCTGAATCTGCGTTCAAGAGTGCTAATTCTGTTAAATAGTATTGCTAACTCACTATAACAGGATAAAAAACATAATGAAACATACATAATTTAATGATGCGTCACTATCCAAGAACAAGGCGGTAAATGATGCACATCCTAACGGGAAAGGAACAGGGAAGAAAGATTTCCAAAAATCAAATGAAAACATAAGTAAAGGTTAGTAGTTCTCGCTCCTTTCTTAGTCTTTCTCTCGAAACAGAAACATTACATTGATTCAGCCAGATATGCATTGAAAGGCCATAAAGGACATTTTCCAGTGCTATATCAATAAACTGCCTGAGTATATCATTGGTAATTTAGTTTTGGTTGCCCGGAAAGAGGAGGCTGGGTGTGATTTTTGCCACCCTACCCACCTGCTTAGGAATTGCTTAAATAATTTCTCTATGTGTGTGTGAGGGACTCCACACCATTGCATGCTGTGTTAAAAGGTTTCCTCTCTGGGGCTCCACTGAATTCCCTTGTCAGATGGAAGGGAGACACAGCCGGTGACTAGCTCCACTTCATTATTTAGTTGACTGCCATATTGTATCAAGAGAGCAACTACCTTGAAATGCTTTATGCCCACACACCCATTTTCTTGGTGGGGGATTTATGGGCCTATTCTGCAAAATCGTTGTGAGGTGCAGCAGCAACTTCACTGTGTGTCTTCAAACAAACAGCCACCCTGCTGCCCGTGATCAGCGTTCCTGGGACGGCGGTGATTGAAATTTAGCACTTAGAGCAACTTAATTGGCACACGGATCTGTTCAGCATATGCCCCACTGCAGGCGCGCCATCTGATGTGCACACGGGGGGCTCGGCACCTCACACATGCTCAGATTTTGCTAAAGAAGCAAGTTGTGAGCAGATCCTTGAAGGTAGCCTGGGCTGTGGTTTAGAACAGAGGAGGCCTTAGAAACAGTCCTTGGCATTTGATACAAGACACCAGGTGCTTATGAAAGACCAGGCAACAGCTGGAAGAAGGTAGCTTTGGATCCTCAAGGATCCGTGCTGTGTCCGGTCCTTGCACTGGTTTCTTGCTGATTCTCACCTAATTCCTCCTTAGTCCACACTGGTCACTGGTTCTTTCTCTTCAAGTCCAACATTGTTCTGTATGCTCTATTGTTGAAGCTCTGTAGTCCATCCCTGGGACACCAAGACCTGCCTGCCTAGGCCAGTAGCCCAGTCACTTTTTGTCCCTTTGTTTTTTCTTCTCAGGACACATTCTTATGAGTCAGAATTGTTGCTTTCCAGTCACCCACTAGGGCACACGTGAGGTTGACCCCTCACGTGTGAGCCGACTAGTTTCCTCTTTGCTCTATTACTATTTTCACACCCAGTCACTGCCATGGTGTATTTTGACTGGAGCAGTCAAATTAATTTGATAACCTGGTAGCCCTCATCTTCCCACTCCTTCCACTCTAATTGCTTCCACAGTTCTACCTGCCCTGCAACTTGAAACTGACTTTTGGTCATTATTTGCTGTGAACGGTGTCTGCATCATTTGCTGTGAAAAATGTCTGTGACTTGTGAATACTTTTGCCTTTAGTAAATCAAACCCCATTGTAGCTTAGTAGAACCCAGATGGATTCAGCAATCCTACTCATCTCACTGCTGTAGAATTCAAATTTAGAATGATGTTTTGCTCACTGTGATGAGACCTTGACCTTTAGCTGTCAGAAAAGAGCTGGTAATTGATGCCACTATTTTTTTTTCTGGGTTAGGAACAGTAGAAGTAGACCAGATATTCTATGTATGTGTAACAAAGGAATTTTTTTCCTTCTATCTTCTATAAGAGCAGGTAAGGGGCAAGGGTATCTGTGCTAAGGAACACATAATGCTCCCGTCCTGTGCTAATGTACTTTGATTCATCAGTCGGGCCCTGGTCTGGCTGCTGGTGTCTGAAGAAGCAGCAACTCGAGCCACCAAACAGCATGGTTTCCGGTGTCAGTGAGAGGGGGGCAGATTAGCTCTCTATCCATTTATCTTTACTTCCCTGCACACGTCCTTCCAAGTTTTGTCACAGACTCCCGAGCTCCATCTGTGTTTGTGGTTCCCTATGGCATCAGGCAAAATCTTGAACTTCTAATACGTGCTTACTAAGTGTTGAGGTCTCAAAGAGGGACAATCGTTGGGCTTTGTCTGAGCAGGATTGAAGGCAGATGATCTAAATCAGAGGCAGTATGTGCTGAGAATCGAATGATGGCTCAAGTTTCAGTGCCCCTTGATCACCTGTTGGGGAACAGTTATCACCAACATGCCCGGACACATTGCACACTGGATCCAGGCAGGAGCCTGCTCGTGGAGACAAGGACAAGAATGTGGAGAAACCCCTCCAGGAGCAGTTGATCAAAGCTCACTTTATTGCTAAATACACACATTTTTATAGAGGCTTGGCTTACAAGAGGTCCAATCACATAGAGTTTAACACTATTGGCGTATCACCTTTTCTTCTCTACGTTGCCCCGGATCCAATCCCCTTCAAAGTTATATGTTGCAGTTAGAATGACTTTCTTAAGGTGTATGTGATGGTTTCTGCATTTTAAAGCTTATGTGACTAGGAGGTCAGTGAGGCTCAAGGCCAAATGCATGATGCAGGCACCCTGTTTTGCTGTCTCTGCCCAGTTACTCCCTTTTGGGAGGTGTCATTTTCAGGGGCTCTTTGTAAGGTCTGGTTTTTCCTGCGTCAGTGCTTGTCGCCCTCCTCTGGACATCCAACCCTCTTGGCATTACTTGTTCCTATGTTTGAACAGAATTTCAAGTTGGTTCCCAAGTTCTGCATGGTTCAGGACACCCGAAAGCAGATCTGATGTTGTTCAATCACTGTTGCTTAGCTCTTGCAGCTCCCATGCTTTGACTTCTCTAGCACCTGGGAGAAGAGAAGAAAATCTTGATCAAATGCACAGGAAAGATAAAAGGAAAAGAACTTTTATATTAATTAACTTTAATATTAACTTTTTTATGCAGGAGTACTGCTATTTATTCAGCCACTGATTAGCTGATTAAATTGTGCATGAACTCCACCATACTTTTTTTTTCATTTTTTATAATTTTATTTATTGAATCACCATGAGAGCAGTTACAAAGCTTTCGGGTCTAAGTCTCAGTCATAATGAAACACCCATACCTTCACCAGTGCCCATTCTCCACCACCAAAAACCCCAGTATACCCACACCATCCCCCTACCTGTGGGGCAGATGATTTCCACATGACTCTCTCTCTACTTTGATCATATTCAATATTTTGACACCAGACCCATGATTATTATTTGAGATTTTACTCCAACACTCAGATCTGCTGAAAAGGCAACAGTAGACAATTTGTGTTCTATTGCTGGTTATGAACAACATATGATGTCGCGTGGCTGCAGTAGGGCCATGTGATTTTGAAATTTTAACACTTAAATCTGGAGGGATTTCTGCCGAAAGCCACTGGGTTTCAAGATTTGCTCCTGAGTCTCTGAGATCATGGCCGTTAAGGAGCTTGATCAGGAGTCAGAGAGGCCATTTGTGGGCGATGACTTGGGGTCTTGTCGGGGTGGGGAGGACAGGACCGGCTTCCCCCCATAGTGTGAGGCCCAAGTTTCGTCACTGCAGGTCCAAGCCTGACTGTCCAATAGCCTCCTGGAGGATGACGGCCACTGAGCCGCCAAGGGGGAGCAGGCGGAGTAACAACACCCTTTCCTCCCTGGGGTGGCCTGGCGACAGTAATGTACTGCGGGGTCCAGATGCATTTCTGCCAAAAGCCACTGGGTTTTGAGATTTGTTTCTGAGTCTCTGGGATCATGGCCATTAAGCACCTTGATCAGGAACCAGGGAGGCCATTCATGGGCAATGACTTGGGGTCTCCTTGGGACGGGGAGGACAGGACCGGCTCCACCCCCATCCCGTGAGGCCCTGCATGTCTCGTCACTGGGGGCCCAAACCTGACTGTCCATTGGCCTCTGAAGGATGGTGGCCACCGGGCCGCCAAGGGGAACAGGCCAAAGCACGAAACCTATTCCCACCTGGGTTGGCCCAGCACCGGTAACCTACCGCAGGGACTGGACGCATTTCTGCAAAAAGCTGTTGGATTTCGAGATTTGTTTCTGAGTCTCTTGGATCATGGCCATTAAGCAGTTCAATCAGGAACCAAAGAGGCCATGCCTCCCACTATATAGCTGAGCCCGAGGTGGTTTGTGGATGTGTTTCCCACATACCTAACTTTTGGCCGTTTGCTTTCTTGGTAAACTTTGCCCCAAGTTTTTGGGGTCTGGCCAGAGGCACAGCAGCAATTTTGGGGTATCTGGAAGTCTGAAGGTGCCATCAGGCTGCTGATGCACTTGCTTCACAGGTACAGACTGACCTGCTGGTGGCACCATACCCCCTATTTTAACTTTTAATATTTAAGAATTTCATACTAACTGAAGAGTAACTTGCATTAACATGCACTATCACTCCTCACAGCAACCCTTTCTGGGAAATGGGTTGCACGTTAGTGGGCTGTTGGCAGTTGAGAAACTGAGTAACCTGTTCATTTTGGCAAAATAAGAAGGATCTGTCCTTGCCTTTCCTCTCTCCCAAACACCCGCTCACAGTTGGCCTAGCAGGCTTCCTGTTGGACAGTTCTGCTAGTCCAGCCTGAAAGTATTAGATTCTCCAGGCTGCAAAATGCAGTGGGTCAGCACTTAACTCTGGTAGGGCTAGAGGAAGAAGTTGGGGAGAGAATTTGGCTTCATAGGTTTCAGGGAAGGCCCTGGCAAGGATTTCCCCAGTCTGTGTAAAGTGAATGCTGTAACAATTCATTCAATTATGCTAAGCGCCCATTAAAGAAACTCTAAGCCCTCCCTTGGGCCATTTCAGTTCTATGAGATTGTAATTGTTTGAGACTAACTATGATTTCTTCTTTTGCCTTCAGGTGATTCTCATTTTGACAAAGCTCTATGACTATAACCTGGGGAGTGTCACAGAGAGCTCACTTTGGAGGTATGTAGATAAATTGTGCTAATAATGACTGTTATTTAAACGTGGTGCCCAGGAATTCTCTTCCCTCTCCCAGTGTTATTTTATTTTTAATTGGGGAAGTATTCTGGTTGTGTGTAGTCCTTTAATTCAAGTTTTGATCTCTTTCTCTTAACCTTGGTTTTGAACTTATTGCTAGACCTTTCCTTCCTTATAGACTTCTTTTTTGGAGCACAGATTTTTTTTAAATTTTTTTTTTTATTAGTGAAACACCATGAGGTACAGTTGTAGATTTACAATTTTTTGTGCTTGGGTTTGATTATACGATGATCAGATACCCATCCCTCCACCAGTGCCCATTTTCCACCACCATGGATAATATCCCCCCACCCCCATACCCCCAGCCCCCCCTGCCTCTGTGGCAGGGCAATCCCCTGTGTTATCTCTTTCCTTTTGGGTGTTGTGGTCTGCAAAAGAGGCATTGAGTGGCAAACATGTTCAGTACATAGTCTACTTTCGACATGCATCTCCCCTCCTGGGAGGATCCTCCAAACACCCTTTATTTGGTGTTCCCTTCTCTATCTGAGCTGCCCTTTCCTCTAGAATGCCCGACTGGTCACTAAACTATGGCGTAATCCTCCTGGTGCTTATCTCAGCTATTCTTGGTTATTAATCTCATATTTTGTTACTTTATATCCCCCAGATAAATGCAATCTTTTTATGTCTATCCCTGTCTTTCTGACTCATTTCGCTTAGCATGATACTTTCCATGTTGTATCACTTGTATGTAAATTTCATGACTTCATCTTTTCTAACAGCTACATAGTACTCCATTGTATAGATGTACCAAAGTTTCTTTAACCAGTCATCTGTTCTTGGGCATTCAGATTTTTTCCAGTTTCTGGCTATTGTAAAGAATGCTGCAATGAACAAGCAAGTGCAGATGTCACTTCGACTATACATTTTTGCCTCTCTGGGATATATTCCCAGGAGTGGTATTGCTGGGTCAAATGGGAGCTCAATTTCTAATTTTTTGAGAATCGTCCATACTGTTTTCCAGAAGGGCTGAACCAGTCGACATTCCCACCAACAATGAAGGAGTGTCCCTTTCTCACCACATCCGCGCAAGCATCGGTTGCTGAAGCACAGATTTTTTTAAAGTTACAATATTGTCACTGATGTGGCTTCATGCAAAAACATCCTGGCATCACGCCTTTCACTAGAGTGACTACTAGTTTCTCCACCCTGATCCCAGTGTTTGTCTTCTGCTGTATCTTTCCCTTCTCTCCCCTTTGGCGAGCATGTCACTAAAGACCAATTCTCAGTTTCTATTTCCTTTGAGCATTTGTTATTACCCTACTGTGTTTCATTTTACCCCACATATGAGAGACATCATCTTGTGTCTGTCCTTCATCAGACTGACTTCACTCAACAAGACATTCTCTACATCCAAGTAGCAGAAAATGTCATGATTTTATTTTTATATATATTTTAAATAGCTGAATAGTATCCTGTTGTGTATGTGTGCAATGGATTTTTATCCAGCGTTCTGCTTTTGGACACTTGGGTTGTTTCCAGATTTTGACTATTATGAGCACGCTTAGGAGCTCACATGTTCATGTCTTTTCTGAGTACGGTTTTTGCGTCATTGGGGTGGTTGCCAAGATATGGAATTGCTGGGTTTTGTGGAGCTCCAATCCTACTTTTTGGAGAAAAGACAGAGATACTTTTAATCTATTCATTAGATTGCGTTCATTTATTTAGAACAGAGTTCTCTCTGATCTGTGAGCTTAAAGGATAGCACAGTGGGTAGGGCATTTGCCTTGCACATGGCCAACCCGGGTTCGATTCCTCCATCCCTCTTGGAGAGCCCAGCAAGCTACCAAGAGTATCCTGCCCACATGGCAGAGCCTGGCAAGCTCCCGGTGGCGTATTCGATATGCCAAAAACAGTAACAACAAGTCTCACAATGGAGATGTTACTGGTGCCCTCACCAGCAAATCAATGAACAATAGAAGGGCAGTGCTACAGTGCTATGAAGAGTGAGATTAGCATGTCCTCTAGATGGAGACAGTCTCTGAGATAATATTCAGTGGTTACAGTCTTAGTGTCAAGTCCAGTGTCTCTTCTGATTTATATTGTCCTTGTGGTGATGGTGATCATGATGGTGGATTGTGTTGAATACCATGTCTGATCAGCAACCCCATCTTATACACACCTGGTCTGTGAATGAAATGGAAATGGTTATATCAGGAATCACCTCAAAGCAAAAGAAAGTTTCTGCAAATATTCCAGATAAGATCAGTGGGAGAATTCCTTCTAAGTCAGTTTATCTGACTAGAAGAGATTGGGTATTTGCTCTGTGTCTCAGGACTGAGGTCTGGAGAAATATTCCATTGATCCTGTGTCAAGCAGACACCCTAATACAGTCAACAGTGATGAAAGAAGGAAGGTTGACGTACACTATATCAATTTGATTTTAGGATCTCTATCTCTGTTCGCTCTTTCTCTCTTTCTCTCTTTTTTCTCTGTCTCTTTGTTCTTTGTCTCTCTTCTCTCTCTCTCTGTACAAGGAGAAAATTTGTAGTTGCCTAGATTCTCCAAATAAATCTGCCTCATCTCATAGGAGGAGAGATCATTCAAATTTGTGTGAACTTGTTTCTAATTGCTATTTCTTTTGACACTCAACACAGAAAGTCCCCACAAAATTATTCTGTGTTTTAGGAAAACCTTATAGATTGAAGAAAAGAATACACTCTGTTCTTTAATCTGTGGTTAAGCATTGTGATTATTGAACTCCTCCCCCAACCAAGGAGCCAATTACACATTATCCCATTGTGGAATATATAATTTGGGGGAATTGTGTAACAGAATTAAAGTGTGGGAAGTATGGTAAGGACCTCTAGAAACATACTTGTTAATGCATTAAGGGCTTGACACTTTCTGCATTGTTTAAATTCTGTTCCTCTTCACTGGAATCTTTGATTCAGAGTAAGCTTATACTTCCTTGATAGATTTTGCTAATGTATGTACATATATGAAAGTAGAAGCCAGATTTTATTCTGCAGTGCATCTGCTGTATAAAGTATAGTTGGCATATAAGGAAAAAAATGCAATTTTGTCTCAGTTGGGCAGAGGCTTTTAGCAGCTATAATTCTTCCAACTCTCAACCTTAGCAGTCAGAAGGCATTGCTGGAGGCCTGTGATGAGCAGCTTGTCCCGGCAACCGAAGCTCAGGTTCAGCTTGCTGCTTTCTCTCAGAGTCTAGAAAAATGTTCTTTTTTTAAAAAAAAATCAAAAGTGAGGTTAGGGAAATAAAAATGACAACACATCCCTATATTATCAGTTCTTCCTTCTGACAGGGAGCTTTCAGGTTTAGAAAACATGTGGCAACAATAACCTCATGACTTTCAGGTATTAGAACTGATTTCAATAGACCCGAGTTCGATTCCTCCGCCCCTCTCGGAGAGCCCGGCAAGCTACCGAGAGTATTCAATATGCCAGACACAGTAACAACAAAGTCTCCAATGGAGACGTTACTGGGCCCGCTCGAGCAAATCGACGATCAACGGGAGGGCCTTTGCCTTTTTACCTTTCAATAGAATATATACATATTAGTATCTATATGCATATAGATAGGGTTGGAGCCATAGCACAGCGGGTAGGGCGTTTGCCTTGCATGTGGCTGACCCTCCCGACCCAGGTTCGATTCCTCTGCCCCTCTTGGAGAGCCCGGCAAGCCACCGAGAGTATCTTGCCCGCACGGCAAAGCCTGGCAAGCTACCCATGATGTTTTCAATATGCCAAACACAGTAATAAGTGTCACGATGCAGATGTTACTGGGCCCACTTGGGCAAATCGATGAAAAATGGGAGGACAGTGACAGTGACAGTGACATGCATATAGATACATATATACATACATATTATATATATTTCTTTTTTTTAATTTTTTTTATTAGTGAAATACCATGAGGTACAGTTGTAGATTTACAATTTTTTGTGCTTGGGTTTGATTATACAATGATCAGATACCCATTCCTCCACCAGTGCCCATTTTCCACCACCATGGATAGTATCCCCCCCACCCCCATCCCCCTATCCCCCCCTGCCTCTGTGGCAGGGCAATCCCCTGTGTTCTCTCTCTCCTTTTGGGTGTTGTGGTCTGCAAAAGAGGCATTGAGTGGTAAACATGTTCAGTCCATAGTCCACTTTCGACATGCATCTCCCCTCCTGGGAGGATCCTCCAAACACCCTTTTTTTGGTGTTCCCTTCTCTATCTGAGCTGCCCTTTCCTCTAGAATGCCCGACTGGCCACTAAGCTATGGAGTAATCCTCCTGGTGCTGATCTCAGCTATTCTTGGGTATTAATCTCATATTTTGTTACTTTATGTCCCCCAGATGAATGCAATTTTTCTATGTCTATCCCTCTCTTTCTGACTCATTTCGCTTAGCATGATACTTTCCATGTTGTACCACTTGTATGTAAATTTCATGACTTCATCTTTTCTAACAGCTACATAGTACTCCATTGTGTAGATGTACCAAAGTTTCTTTAACCAATTATTATATATATTTCTATGCACGATGCTATATATTAAAAGGTTAAGGCCCTCCCGTTGATCGTCGATTTGCTCGAGCGGGCCCAGTAACGTCTCCATTGGAGACTTTGTTGTTACTGTGTTTGGCATATCAAATACTCTCGGTAGCTTGCCGGGCTCTCCGAGAGGGACGGAGGAATCGAACTCGGGTCGACCATGTTGGCCGCTTGTAAGGCGAACGCCCTACCGCTGTGCTATTGCTCCAACCCCTATATATTAGTTATATATTAGCTATATATATATTAGCTATATATATTATATATATTAGCTGTATATATATATTAGCTATATATTAGTTTACATAAATATGTATACAAATGTATATGCATGCATATTCACATAATATGAATGCATACATTTTCATTGTTTGTATACCTACAATAAGATAACCATTCTATTATTGATTTATATTATTATATTCTAG